ACAAGGTTGCCCACTCTCACCACTCTTATTCAACATAGTATGGAAGTTTTAGCCACAGCAATCAGAGAAGAAAAGGAAATAAAAGGAATCCAAATCGGAACAGAAGAAGTAAAGCTGTCGCTGTTTGCAGATGACATGGCACTGTACATAGAGAATCCTAAGGACGCTACCAGAAAACTACATGAGCTAATCAATGAATTTGGTAAAGTAGCAGGATACAAAATTAATGCTCAGAAATCTCTTTCATTCCTACACACTAATGATGAAAAATCTGAAAGTGAAATTAAGAAAACACTCCCATTTACCACTGCAACAAAAAGAATAAAATACCTAGGAATAAACCTACTTAAGGAGACAAAAGACCTGCATGCAGAAAACTATAAGACAATGATGAAAGAAATTAAAGATGATACAAACAGATGGAGAGATATACCATGTTCTTGGATTGGAAGAATCAACATTGTGAAAATGACTAAACGACTCAAAGCAATCTACAGATTCAATGCAATCCCTATCAAATTACCAATGGCATTTTTCACAGAACTAGAACAAAATATTTCACAATATGTATGGAAACACAAAAGACCCTTAATAGCCAAAGTAATCTGGAGAAAGAAAACTGAGCTGGAGGAATCAGGCTCCCTGACTTCAGACTCTACTACAAAGCTACAGTAATCAAGATAGTATGGTACTGGTGCAAAAACAGAAATATAAATCAATGGAACAGGATAGAAAGCCCAGAGATAAAGCCACGCACATATGGTCACCTTATTTTTGATAAAGGAGGCAAGAATATACAATGGAGAAAAGACAGCCTCTTCAATAAGTGGTGCTGGGAAAACTAGACAGCTACACGTAAAAGAATGAAATTAGAACACTCCCTAACACCATACACAAAAATAAACTCAAAATGGATTAAAGACCTAAATGTAAGGCCAGACAGTATCAAACTCGTAGAGGAAAACATAGGCAGAACACTCTATGACATAAATCACAGCAAGGCCCACCTCCTAGAGAAATGGAAAAACAAAAATCAACAAATGGGACATAATGAAACTTTAAAGCTTTTGCACAGCAAAGGAAACCATAAACAAGATGAAAAGACAACCCTCAGAATGGGAGAAAATATTTGCAAATGAAGCAACTGACAAAGGATTAATCTCCAAAATTTACAAGCAGCTCATGCAGCTCAGTATCAAAAAAACAAACAACCCAATCCAAAAATGGGCAGAAGACCTAAATAGACATTTCTCCAAAGAAGATATACAGATTGCCAACAGACACATGAAAGCATGCTCAGCATCACTAATCATTAGAGAAATGCAAATCAAAACTACAACGAGGGGGGGCTTCCCTGGTGGCACAGTGGTTGAGAGTCCGCCTGCTGATGCAGGGCACACGGGTTCGTGCCCCGGTCCGGGAAGATCCCACATGCCACAGAGCAGCTGGGCCCGTAAACCTGTGCCTCCGGAGCCTGTGCTCCGCAACGGGAGAGGTCACAACAGTGAGAGGCTCGCATACCGCAAAAACAAAAACAAAAACAAAAACCTACAATGAGGTATCACCTCACACCAGTCAGAATGGCTATCATCAAAAAAACTACTAAAAAAAAAAAAAAAAAACCTACTAACGGGCTTCCCTGGTGGCACAGTGGTTGGGAGTCCGCCTGCTGATGCAGGGGACAGAGGTTCGTGCCCCGTTCCGGGGGGATCCCACGTGCCATGGAGCGGCTGAGCCCCCGGAGCCTGTGCTCCGCAGCGGGAGAAGCCACAGTAGTGAGAGGCCCGCGTACAAAAAAACTACTAACAATAAAAGCTGAAGAGGGTGTGGAGAAAAGTGAACCCTCTTGCACTCTTGGTGGGAAGGTAAATTGATATAGCCACTATGTAGAACTGTATGGAGTTTCCTTTAAAAAACTAAAAATAGAACTAGCATACGACCCAGCAATCCCACTACTGGCCATATACCCTGAGAAAACCATAATTCAATAAGAGACATGTACCACAGTGTTCATGGCAGCTCTATTTACAATAGCCAGGACATGGATGCAACCTAAGTGTCCATCAACAGATGAATGGATAAAGAAGATGTGACACATATATACAATGGAATATTACTCAGCCATAAAAAGAAATGAAACTGAGTTATTTGTAGTGAGGTGGATGGACCTAGAGTCTGTCATATAGAGTAAAGTAAGTCAGAAACAGAAAAACAAATACCGTATGGTAACACATATATATGGAATCTAAAAAAAATGGTTCTGAAGAACCTAGGGGTAGGACAGGAATAAAGACATAGAGAATGGACTTGAGGACACGGGGAGGGGGAAGGGTTAGCTGGGACAAAGTGAGAGAGTGGCATGGACATATATACACTACCAAATGTAAAATAGCTAGCTAGTGGGAAGCAGCCGCGTAGCACAGGGAGATGCTTTGTGACCACCTAGAGGGGTAAGATAGGGAGGGTGGGAAGGAGACGCAAGCGGGAGGAGATATGGGGATATATTTATATGTATAGCTGATTCACTTTCTTATAAAGCAGAAACTAACATACCATTGTAAAGCAATTATACTCCAATAAAGATGTTTAACAGTAAATAAATAAATGACATTACAACATTTAAAAATCCATTGGATAGATTATCAGGTAACTATAAAAGAAAAGGAAATGAAAATACAAACGAAATAAGAACAAATAAAGGAAAAATCTTAATGGGAGATATGAATTTTTATATTTGTTTTGGTCATGCAGAGTTAAAATAAAACAAAAATAACTACCATTACCTTAAATCGTTTCCATTTCATACCAGAAAGTGCATTTTTTACTCACTTTTGCTCTGACTTGTAGCTTCTCACAAAAGCAATATAACCGTTTTTTTAATTATTAAAAAAAATAATAATAATGCTACCAAAACTCTTCTAAGAACTTTGGAGACTTTTTTTCCCAAGTAATATTCAAAGAAATTTTTGAGCAGATTTTCCCTTACTAGTTGTAATGACAGTTATTTTCTCTTTTATTTGGTCCTAATGTAAAGTTATATAATTCCTATTAATAGCACATGATGAATCTACCACCAATATTATCTGAAGGGGTGGAACTCCGAGTTGAATTGTAGTCATCATTTTCCACTGGAAAAACATCCTCAGTATTGGCCAAGAATTAGTACCTTAAAGAAAACAAGACCAAATACCTGCTGGATACAGGCTCATATAGCAGGGAATAAACAGCAAGGAGCAAATTCACAATGTGAGCTCATGGCAGTGCCAAACACTTCAAATAAATTTAAACTTGTCTGAATCTCCACACTTTCATTTTATATCAGAGACCACAGACTCAAGCCAATACTTTTGTTTTGATACTGTAATACATACATAAAAACCGTAACTGTTACAACAACTCATATTCATGCAGCCTTTCAGTTTACAAAAAGCTATCATATGCATTACCTAATAGAGCCCTCACGAGCACCAAGCTCTGTGTTGCTATCCCCACCAGGGAAACTGAGTGCCAGAGAGGGTCAATGACTTGCTCCACGTAGAGGAAATATTATTAACTAATAGAACTCGGCTCCTGACTGCCAATCTGGGCTGTTTTTGTTAAACTGCAGAGGCTTCCATGACAAGTTATTCTTCAAAATAGAAATAAGACAAAACCCTGATTCATCAATTCATGAACTGTTTTTTGTCACTCTGGATGCAGTCTTGTCCTCAGCCACTGCACATACATATTGGAGAGCTGAGGGGCTGGGGAGGGCAGAGATGATTGTAAAATAAAACACACACTAAGTGGGAATGATCTAGATTAAACATTTTAACATTGTTTGCTGAAAATAAATATCTCAGCCTCAGACCCACAGTTATAAAACTAAAAGAGACCTTGAAATTCATCTGTTCTTTTTCCATTTCACAGGTGAGGAAAATATGGTGATGGAGAGAGCACAGAACTCCCTAAAGGTCACCCCGGTAACTGCCGACAGCAGAGCCAGGACCACACAGAGCTGGCTCTTTTCCACTCCATGCCCTGATTGTGTTTGCAAATTAAAGGACTAAGTACAGTCCAGATATTTACAAGGAACCATCACAGTGCTAGAGAAATGAGCAGATTAGACCTTACACACCAACATTACAAGTGTAAAAATTATTGTTTTACATATCATTGAAAGCAGCAGGAACTTTATAGGAAAAATAGTCAACGTATATATTTTAGGTGCTCATTGTTAAGATTAAGGAAATTTTCTAAAATATAACTTTTTTTCCCTTTAGATATATGGAACTCTTTTGAATTTTGTTATAATAATAACAGACTTAAGTACATTCAAAAACAGGATAGGGCTTCCCTGGTGGCACAGTAGTTGAGAGTCCGCCTGCCGATGCAGGGGATGTGGGTTTGTGCCCCGGTGTGGGAAGATCCCACATGCCGCGGAGCGGCTGGGCCCGTGAGCCATGGCCGCTGAGCCTGTGCCTCCGGAGCCTGTGCTCCGCAACAGGAGAGGCCACAACAGTGAGAGGCCCGCGTACCGCAAAAAAAAAAACAAAACAAAACACAGGATAGTCTCTCAAAACTGTCACCACCTGTAACTTACATGAAGAATAAGAAACAATAACATTTCATCACCTTTTCTAGATACAGGTCTTTCAACCTATTACCTACATTACCTGTCCGGTTCACACCATTGCCTGTCTTTTTCAGGAGTTTTCGGAAAGTTATTGAGCTCTTTTGAATGTAGGTGATTCTTATTTCCCCTCTGAAACTTAAATGCTAGGCAACAAAATATCTCTGAAGTTTAACTGACCGACATGCTAAAAATGCTTAGGTTGTAAGCCATTTGCTACTTACACAATATTCATTTCCACATTAAAAAAATAAATAATCTAATTATACTTTACTGTACCTGTGAGTCCTTTAAAAGACTTTTCACTCTCCAATTCAAATCGGATATGAAATTCTTTTTGGAGATGCAGAATATAAGAGTTTTCTAGATATTATTGAACATCATTCCATAGGAAAAAAAACCCATTTATGTAGACCAATAGTAAACCACACAGATGATAGAAAATATTGACAGTAAAATTAGTTTTTTGTCTCACATTCACAAGATCATTTTTCCACTTTAATACAAGGTCTAATCTATAGCAGATGCCGGTACTAATTGAAAGGAAATTCCATCCTTCATGTTCTGATCAATCTGAGGACGGTTTTTTCCAGAGGTGAAGAGCTGCCTGAATTCTGAAGTGTAGTCTGGACTCCAGTGAGTAATCTTTGTAGTTATTTCTAAAGATAAATAACAATAATATTGTAATGTCAAAATTCGTTTATACACCAGGGCACCACCACCCTCCTCCCCTCCTCTCATCTTCATTCCTTATTTGCTTTCAAACGTTAATATGCATAACGGTGGATTTTGTTAAAATGCAGATTCTGGTCCTGGGAGGAGATGAGGACTGCAATATTCTGTATTTCTAGAAGCTTCCTGGTGGTGGTCTAAAAAGCATGCTTTGACTAGCAAGGTTTATATGTAATTACCAAACCATTCACAAACAGCAAGAAGGTTACATGGAGGGCTTAACAAATTTTGTGAACTATTTTTAAAGAGTTGACCTCCTTTTCTAAACTGGAAATTTCTGGCAGCCTGTAAAAACAAGGTGAACATAATCATTCACCCCCACCACACACACACACACAAATTTATATATATAGATAGATTTAGATATAGATATAGAAACTCGCACAAAACGACAATTACAACAAAGATAGCAGGATTACTTGGTGACACCAAAATTACTTACTGCAATTCTGATGGGCAAATATCAATGGTTTGATCAATAATTATTATGCGGCAATGTCAGGAGGGGCATTAGAAATCCACAGATTATTTAAAAACTTCACTTAGATCATCCATGTTGACTTCTCTTTGCTAGAATTGTTCCGAATCAGCAAAATGGAATGCTCTGGACCTTGGGCTCTGCTTTCACCCACCACCGTGGCCCATGGGAGAGCTGTACTTTCTTTGCAGTGGCATTCATTCCTTTCTATAACCCTTTACTTTATACAGGTCTAAGGGTTACTTACTGGTAACCTTGATAATCAGGGTTATTATTCATAATGAGGGTTATTATTCATAAGCTAAGCCAACATCTTACTAGAGTTTACCGAAGGACGTAATTGAGTATTTCCCTAATTAACTTTGGAAGCTTTGCAAAGCTCCTACTGCACAAAGAAAACTACAGATAATCAACAGTCTTGAAATTATGGGACGTCTGTTTATGTTGACATCACTGGGACTGTCTTGAGTTAGTGGTGACTTTTGATCACTGCTGGTCTTGCTTTTTCATAGTGAATTACTAGTCTTTATAAAGTTGTCTTATTGTGCATTGCTTAGATAACACCAAATATGTCCAAATGATATGAATACTTAGAAACCGTATTTTCAGTCCCAAATTTTCCAATGGGACTAAAAATTTTCAATAGATTTGAAGATACACGAATGTCAGTTGACATAAGAGTCATACTCACTCTCAACAAATTAACTTTAAAAGTGACTTTCTCTCATATCCTTGGCTTTAAAAAAAAAAAAAGATAATGAAACCTCTCTTGGCTCCACTGTGCCTCCAAAGCTTCTGCCCCATTACTATGCTTTATTCACAGCCAAATATCCTGAAGGAGTTGCCTGGAGTAGCAAACTCCACTTTCTCACCTTGCTTGTCAAAGTCACCGATGATCATGCTGCCAAGTTCAGCAGCCAGTTCTCTGGTCTCACCTTGATTGACCTCTTGGCAGCCATCTTCACAACTGACCACTCTCTTCTTTTGAAACATTTTGTTCACTTGGCTTTCCCGGATGTCCTCCTGACTCACTGGCCACTTCTTAATCTTCTTGTTTAATCTCTAAAATGATGGCATATCCCAGGGCTATGCTGGATCTCCTTCTCTAGCTGTATAACTTCCCCCAAATGACCTCATCAAGCACCACAGCTTTAAATATCAGTGTCTCTGTTCTGGTGACTTTGAAATATCTACATTTGGCCTTGACCTTTACACTGAACTCCATGCTGGTATATATGACTGCCAACTCACCATCTCCACGTGAATACCTATAGGCACCTCAAAATATCACAGTTCGAACGGGAGTAAGTTTTTTTTTCTCTCTCTCTCTCCTCAATCCTTATCCTCTAAGTATTCCCCATTTCATTCAAGAAGCATCATCAACCTCGTGGCTCAACACCCTCCCCGCTCCACCCCCCAGCCAAGAATGCTCCCCACACAGTCCGCTGGTGACTGGTCTTCTCAGGACTGGCTTTAATTATGCTAATCTCAACTACATACCCCCTCAAGGAAACCTTCCAGAATCAACTCAATCTAAAGTAGCACTCGAGTACCCTGTATCATATCGTAAATCTCAGCAAAGCACATACCATTGCTACTCTTCTTATTTATTTACCAATACCCCTCAACTTAGAAGGTAGAAACATTGCCTGTTTATGCACAGGTGTCTATCTAGAACCTTTTCTAGTGTCTAGCACATAATAGGTACTCAGTGAATGCTCTGCTGAATGTGAGTAAATGAACAAACTAGTGGATCAGCAAGCTATTTATGGCCTACAGCGATCATGGCATTCTTTCTCCATGGCAAGTAGTGTTCAAAGCAAGCAGACCACAGGGTTTGTGCCCCCAGTAAGTGAGCCATGATCACAGGAGGTCTGAGAGCCACTGGACAGCAGAATTGATAAAGTGCTTTGAAACTGCCACAGCAGTCAGAAAGAAGAAAGAGGAGAAGATTCAAAGGGCTTCTTCAAATCAATGGCTCTTTAAGGAAATGAGAGAGATGGTAGAACACACCAAGGATCGGCAAACTATGACCAAAATTATGGCCAAATCTGGGCACACCCATTTATTTACATATTGTCTTCTATGGCTGCTTTTAATACAATTGAGTAGTTGCAATGGAAACCTTATACTGTAAAGCCAAAAATACTTACTAACTGGCCCTTTACAGAAAAAGTTTGCTGACCCCGATATAGAAGAGAATAGGCCAGAAATCTGTCATGTAGGTCCCCAAAATCACAACGTTTGTAAACAGCCACAGGGTCAGGCATTAAGAGGACTGGAGGGCTTCCCTGGTGGCGCAGTGGTTGAGAGTCCGCCTGCCAATGCAGGGGATATGGGTTCGTGCTCCAGTCCGGGAAGATCCCACACGCCGCGGAGCGGCTGGGCCCGTGAGCCACGGCCGCTGAGCCTGTGCTCCGCAACGGGAGAGGCCGCAACAGTGAGAGGCACGTGTACCGCAAAAAAAAAAAAAAAAAAAAAAAAGGGTTGGAAACAGCACAATTCCAGCAAAAGCCACAGGCAGAAACTAAGCATAAATTAGCAAGTGTAAAATTGTGACTAATTTTTCATTAATGTGTTCATTTTAAGTGTATCAAGTTACTGCTGTTGTTAAAATTGTATTGACATTCCTGACTCCACAGCAAGAGAAGCTGCGGTTATCACTTACCTTGCAGTTTCTAGAACCTTTATGGCCTTGTCAATTTCCCCTTGGTTTTTATACAAAAATGCCAACTCAAACAGAGTAAATGGCACTAGGTAGTGGTCATACTTCAGTAGCTTTTCACTAAAAGAGCAAATGAAAAGCAATTAAGTCTTAACAGAACAAGGAACATATCATTCTTTTCCAACATACATGTATTTTTCCCCATTCTTAAGAAAACAGCTACAGCACTAAGACTATTATCAGAGAAAAGCTGTCATTATACAGTTAAAGAACCTAATAAACCATGGCAATAAATAGTATGCTTTTAATATATTACTCTTTTTTTTCTTTTTTTCTTTCTTTTTCTTTTGGCCAAGCTCTGGCATGCAGGATCTTAGTTCCCCGACCAGGGATTGAACCCGTGCCCCCTGCAGTGGAAGCACGGAGTCCTAACCACTGGACCGCCAGGGAATTCCTTATATTACTCTTTTATTTTATTCCTTAATATAAATCCAGCACTGAGGATTGGTTACTGACCTTCAGGTATACAAATGCATGCAGATCTTCAAAGATTAACCCTAGAAAGGATAAGATCATCCCTCCTGAACATGAATGTGTTCAGGAAATGACTCCACTCAGAAAATGATGCCACTTATTTCTCACTGAGGTTCAACTCTCTTTGCACTGCTGTCTTATAATGCTTCAAAATGTCAAGAAAGAAGTGGTCAACACTTCGGTTTTCAGCAGTATTATGAAAATTCTCTGACTACAAAACATGTAGAAGCACTCAAAAAAATAAGAGCAACACCCTTTAAAATGCAGAGCTCAGCTCACAAGGACATAAGGAAAAATCTCAAACTGAAAGCAAAACAAAACCAGAACTCTAAGTGTGTGCATGATGCCAAAGCACCCCTAGGTCTGTTTCAGTCTGAATCAGCCAGGGCTTTGTGTCTCAATGTCCACACAGGAGGGGAGGCCTTGGGTCCACATAGTATATAGAGCCTGGGCTGAGACTCTACATAAAGCTGGGGCTCTGCTCCACCAGAGAAAGGGCAGATGAGAAAAACCCACTTGCAGCATAGGAGGAAGACAGGGGCAGTTGGCTCCTTGGCCTGAGGTCTAGGTGAGGGGGAGTGGAAAAAAACACATCCCTTAGGAAATTAATAACCAATAGGCCTGCCCTCACATGAATCTGCAATTCAAATTTATGTGGCCCAAATGATCCAAGAACTTCTAAGCAATGAAATTAACATGAAGGTGGCCCTGGCCTGGAAAAGCCTTTTGGGCATCTGGCAGAAATAAAAGCAAAATCACTTTAGAGAGAGACTATTCCTCAATCCTAGCCTCATAGGAGCCTCAAGATAAAACCCCACTGAAGGTGAACTCACAATCCAAAAGTATAAAATACACCGGCAAGCAATTCACTATGAGATTCAAAAAATACAACAAATGGGTCATCCTTTTGATCCTAATAAAAACACCAATAAAAGAGAACTCAACGGATACTTCTTTAACATGTTTACTAAAGCCTGTATATTACTTATTTGGGAAACAGATATTGTCTCTTTCAGCTTCTTAGAAGGACACCGGTCCTCCTACATTCTCATAATATACAGTCAGAAAGAGGCAGATCAGTAGCTACGGATGGAAAGGCATATGATATGGAACAAAAACGTCAACCGGCAGTCTATGGCTGTGATCTATTTGGCTTACACAATGGTTTCCAAAAAATTGAGCCAAGATTTAAAAATCTGGAGATGTTATACAAAATTCAGATTCCAGGCTTTCAATGAAAAATTGTAGGGACTTCCCTGGTGGCACAGTCATTAAGAATCCGCCTGCCAATGCAGGGGACACAGGTTCGATCCCTGGTCCGGGTAGATCCCATATGCCGCGGAGCAACTAAGCCCGTGTGTCACAACTACTGAGCCCACACGCTACAACTACTGAAGCCCTCACACCTAGAGCCTGTGCTCCGCAACAAGAGAAGCCACCACAGTGAGAAGCTCGTGGACCGCCACGAAGAGTAGCCCCCACTCGCTGCAACTAGAGAAAGCCTCCAAAGACCCAACGCAGCCAAAAAAAAAAAAATTGTAGGGATTATTGCTACTGGGCCCACACTGTCCAGAGCAATAATCAATTAGAGCTCAGGAGTGGCTGCATTCTTTAAAGAGAACACACTATCTCCCTAATCTGCAGTGCCCACTAATCCCTATTTCTGCCATCGTTCAGTAAGGTTACTTGTCTGGCCCCTGTAATTGCATTTGTGACTCCAGATGTAGAGAAGAGGGTCAGGCATCAGAACCTTGACTCAACTCTCTAATTAGTGAAAGAGCAGGACATCATGATCAATGCTCTTGGGGGGTTAAAACTCATTCATCTACAGAAAAATACCCCTTGCCAAAAGAGAAGCAGTGTTAGTATTCATCACAGTCGTTCTTTCCTGTCACATTATCATTACAATGATGGCGAGTCTTTCTACTGAACTTTGAATCCCTAGGATTCAGGATCACAGTCTCTGGCACATAGTGGGTACTCAAATATCTGTGGAATAAATGGATGACAGACAAATGCACGAATCAAAGAAGTATCAGATGTTCTGTACATTGCTGCCAGAATTCAGACAGACACGTGTCAGCCTGGCTGTAAATTTAGCTTTTGTAAGTCACCTCTGAACACCAGGTAGAAAGGCATAACGCCACGTTCCACTTAGGTTATAATTTTTTTCTCAAAGAATAAAGAAAACATTACTGGATTCTCTTTCTGGCAACACCAAGTAAAAGGTTAGCAACGGGAGATAAAAGCATCACTTTCTCACAGCGATTCCCCAGAAACCACAATCTGCACTCAAGTTGGTTTCATTGTCCGCTTTTACCTTTGGACGACGTGATTGAAACACAATTCCGCTTGCAAAGGCCGCTGTAAGTTCTTCAGGCAGCATCCTTTCAGCAACTTCACTAAGCATTCATCATCTACAGAGTAGTCGCTGGACTCTTAAAGCAAAACAAACATACAATTCACACACGGAAAGAAAAATACTTGTAAAAATCCTATTTAAGAGGTAGCACTAACAGCTCTTAGGTTTCAGAGGGACCATTTAAAAATAAGGAGAATATGTTTAGCATTTGTTATGCCTCACTAAATAAAATACAATGAAAATATTTCAAATGAAAAGAATACTAACTACATTAATACACCATTTTATTAAGGGGTTCACCCTAGCCACTTAAAATTTTTTTGGGGTGCTCATACTCTGAGTTGTGTGACCTTACGTATAATTATAGGAAGTTTGAACTGTAAATAAAGAAAGAGCTTTATTAGTTCTGTGAAAGGTAAAGCGGTGAGGAGGTTGCACGCTGCCTCTTCCTGTGGTTCTGGTCCCTAGCTGTGCTGGCTTCGTGTAGAAGAGGGTAATGCTTCCATATGGAGAAGCAGATGGCCTTCTCCCCATTAAAAATTCAGGAAGGAGCACACCCTCTCCAGATCATTATGTTTACAACTTATCAGTTCTCCCAGGTTATGCGCTTTTGGGGAAGAAATTATGTCATAAAATTAGACAAAATGGTTCTGAGGTGTGCAAGGCTCCTAAAATCCCCACAAACTTCTAACTGCGTGAGGCTACTGAGGAAGATTTTCTTTCAGGACTTTTTTCCTTTTGAAAATGACTCGTTACCTTCTACAGCCCAAGGCTAACATATATTAACAGAAGGAACCGTAGCATGTGTGACATCTATCTGACAAAGGTTGCCATTTCACATCTATCACTTTTGAATTTGGGGTTTTTTTTTTTTTTTTTTTGCAAGTTAAGTGCAGCTAACAAATCACTCCAAGACAGACCGATAATTTATACATTTCACGCTGTGACAACACAGGTGGGAAGGGGCAGTAAACCAAACTAATGAGGCTCTAAGAGCCCCTCATACTGAAATACTCTTGCTTTCAGTATAAACGTCGGAAATCACCATTAACACATGCTGGTGTTCTAATCAGTAAGCTGCTTGTCTATGGGAGGTTAAGGATGCTACTTAACCAACTCAGAGGAGGTCACTTTACTTCTAGGTGCTGAAAATAGCTGATATTCACCTCTCACTTCCAAGATCTGACAGGTTATTCACTAAGAAAATTACAAACATCAATGCCACATTACCTTCCCTATTAAAATCCATTCCCCCTCTGCCTCAAAAAAATCTATTCATGCTTCTAATCATGGATGCTCATTGAAATATCCATTCAAGAAGTAATATCTTTCCAGGCCTAGAACCAAACCCTTATGGTCCATACTGGATGCTAAGTTTTAGTATCACTTTTGTGCATTCTATTGAGTTCTATGTCACATTTTATGACAGTTTGTCTTATCTCACCGTTTCGGTGCTCAGTGAAGGACAATTTTGCTGAGGAACACCATGGAAAGTTGAAGTACCATTAAAACACACAACTTTTATTTAGATCATGACTTAGGGATATGGAAAATGGATTCAAAAATACCATGTTCCTCCAAAAACCTTAGAAAGTAAAACCATTATTTCCTCAGACCACTACCTGTCAGATGATTATTTTCCCTTAAAATGTGAAGGCTTTATCATGACTATCAACCTCATGGGAGACTCATGGGAGAGTTCATGGATGAACATTTCAACACATGGTTTCCATTTTACACCCCAAGAAAATTACACAATAATGCTGCCAAAGCACACTTGCATCACAAAAGATCTGCTGAACTTAAAACAGAGGGTAGGCTTAGGGAAAAGGAAATCTGAAGCCCAAGCTACAAAATATGTACATTGAACTTTTCAGAAGCTAGTTGATATGCACCAAAGGAAAAATGTGAAAATGGATTTAGAGGTGAAGAGCCAGAAAGTAACACTTTCCCTTTTATGTAACTCTTATTATGCTTGCTACATAAGTTCACCAAGCAAATTAGTTATAACAAATAGTTAAAGTAGAACTACTGAATCAACTTCTGGCTACATGTGGAAGTTAGTCAGATTTCGAGTGAAGCACTATTGGAATTAGTAGCAAATACTGACTCCAGGCACACTACCAAGTTCTTTTCTGTCTTTAAACAGTATTCCTCCTTTTGTATCTCTGACCAGCCTTTCATAACTGTGGCATCGTCAGAGGAGAACACCAATTATATCCTCTACCATCTTTTACTTTAGAGACACTTAACAAAGGTATGAGAAGCCAAAATACATTCATTTCCTAATAATGTGTGTGTGGCGAGGGTGGGTAGGGGGGAAGGAGGTGTTTAGTGGAGGCTGAAGTCACCTCAGCTTTACCACTTCACTCCATTCTCCAATTGTGGATTTTTTCCCTCACTCTGAAGGATAAGAGCTTAATTACTAAAAGATCCTAAGGGGGTAGGGGTATAGAATCAGGTAATCATCTTGCGTAAAACCGTGGACCTAGAAGAGATCATCATAAATTTCATGTGCAACATCTAGCAAAAGTGATGTTCAGAAAAGAAACCAGTTTTTTGTTTGGTTTTTTTTTTTTTACCCAGCAGGAAGACACACAAAGACAAGTTTGTACAAAGTACAATTGTACAAAGTACAATGTGTCTGTCGGTCTGAGCTCTTCTCCCCCACCAGTCCTGCTTAAATATCTCTCAAAGTCTATCATCTCAATATGTCATTAAAAGAGAAAGGAATGGATGGAGACAACAGCCTGATTTTCTAAACCTCTATTGCATTTTACATGCGTAGTCTGATACAAATATTACCTCTTTATTTTTTTTCCCCCACCAATGTAAAGGCAAAATAAATTTAGAGGGAAAGGGTGAAGAGCCTGCTTAAACAGAGGAAAACTCAACAGTCCCTCAGGACTTCTTGACAGTGTGGGTGCTCTGTATCCGAGGGCTTCACATCCGCAAATTCAACCAACCAGATTAGAGCTACATTTAGGACCCACGGTTGATGGAATCCACAGATGCGGAAACTGCAGATACAGAGGGTGGACTATGGAACCTGAGCATCCAAGGATTTTGGTACCCACGGTGGGTCCTGGAACCGATTCCACGCAGAAACTGAGGTACGACTGTATACAAAGCCCTTACTCCCTGGTGGTACATAATAGTCTATACTACAAAGGATAGACATTCAAACAATAGAATTTATTCTACTGCACCAAAATCCTTATCTTTGTAGTAAAACAGAAGAAGCAAGCTAGCCTGCTTTTCTGGGGGAAAATACCCTACAAATGTTTTAACTTAATAAAAAGAGGTTTTTCTTTACCTCCCAGTTTTCACATACCCACTTATTTTAAAACATATTCATTTTTCCATCTGATTTGTGAATATGTGGGGTTTAATCACAGATAATTCCCTTAATGACAGGAACAATGCTTTCTCTGCCTGTCACAATGCTATACCTAGTATGGAAAATCTAAGAGTGTTCAAAGGAACAAATTAATGAAGAGTGGCCAAATTGATTCAACAAAAATAAACACTAGTAAATTTGTTCAAAAGCCCAAATACAGTTTACTGAAGTACATTTTGTGAAATCTCATTTTTTGAAGTAAACATTTATGGAGTTTCATCTAAATTACATTTCAAAATGATGGGGCTCTATGTTGAGTTTCCACTCAAATCAAAGTAAGTATTTTTCCTTTTTGAAATTATTCCATATTAAAAAGAGTAAAAATAAAATCACCTCACACCCATTAGGATGGCTATTACCAACCAACCAACCAACAAACAAAACAAATTTTTAAAAAAATAGAAAATTACAAGCATTGGCAAGGATGTAGAGAAAATGAAACCCTGTGCATTGTTGGTAGGAATGTACAATGGTGCAGGCACTAGAGAAAAGAGGATGACAATTCCTCAAAAAATTAAAAATAGAAATGCTGTATGATCCAGCAATTGCACTTTAGGGCATATATCTAAAGGAACTGAAAGCAGGGTCTCAAAACAATATTTGCATACCCATATTCATAGAAGTATTTATTATTCACAGTTGTCAAAAGTGGAAGCAACCAAATATACATTGATGGATGAATAGATAAACAAACTGTGGTATAAACATTCAAGGGAATATTATGCAGCCTTAAAAAGGAAGGCAATTCGGACATGTGCTACAACATGGATGTACCTGGAGGACATTATGATAAGGGAAATAAGACAGCCACAAAAAGAAAAATACTGTGTGATTCCACTTACACGAAGTCTCTAGAATAGTCAAATTCATAGTAACAAAAAGTAGAATGGTGATTGCCCACAGCTGTGGGGAGGGGGAAATGGGGAGTTATTGTTTAATGGGTATGAAAAAGTTCTCAAAACTGGTTGCACAACCAAGTGAATATACTTAGCACTACTGTACCATACAGTTTAAAAAATGGTTAATATGGTAAATTTTATATTATGTGCATTTTTCTACAATTAAAAATTTTAAAGAATTGTAAAAAATGTAAGGAGGCTTATCATAATTCTATATTAGTAGAAACTATGCAGAAAATGTTAGTGATGGAACATCTAGGACACAGACAAAGAAAGTCTGAAATGTCCATATAGTCTGTACTTATACATACGTTGTTTTGGTTCTTTGTTAAATAGTACAAACTTTGAGTTCCTCCTTTGGGTCCCAGTTTCTTGAGCCTTCTCATCCACTTGTTTCCCTGGTACCCAGAAATCAAAGGGAATTATCAGTCCATGAAGATGAATACCTCAATATTTTGGCTACTCTACCTAACCTCCAGATCAAAATGAGCTGAAGTATTATAACTTTTCTGTAAAAGGGGAAGGAAAAAGAAGGGAAAGGAAACCATCATTCTGTTATTTAAAATGATGCCTTTAATATGGGAAGGTGACATACTCGCCCTTCATCAACAGATGAGCTTTTCGTACTACTGTTTTTCAAGAGTGGAGTAGAATATTCCACTCACCTGGTATCCCTGTGATCACCTGCTTGTATTTGCAAGAAGGCTAATGGGGAGGTGGGGAGGGCGGTGGTCTGTGGCCTCAGAACAGCATTGCTCTTAGTTCCATTTCATTCTTTATCTATCCAGGCTGAAACCTTGAGCTTGTTAGCAGATAAGCCCACTGATTCAGCTTTCATTCTTTTCTATTTCTTCTCCTTATTGGTGGGAATCTAAAGCTACAATTATTTTAAATATGGAAGGCAGCCTAAATGCCCAACAATTCTGAAAGAGTTGATTAAATTATGATATATTATCTCCATGGAATGCCATGAAGCTTTTGAAATTATTATAAGCGTTACTTAGCAACAGTTAAAACATTTATGATAAACTATCATATGATCCAGCAATCCCACTTCTGCATATTTATCTGAAAAACAAATACTAACTTGAAAAGATATATACACGCTCATGTTCATTGCAGCATTATTACAACAGCCAAGCATGGAAACAACCTAAGTGTCCATCAATGGATGAATGGATAAAGAAAATGTGTTTTATATATATATATATATGTATATATATAATAGAACATTCGGCCATAAGAAAGAATCAAATTTTGCCATTTGCAACAACAGGAAGGACCTTGAGGATATTATGCTAAGTGAACAAAAGTCAGACAGAGAAAGACAATCACCATATGATCTCACTTCTATGTGAAATCCAAAAAAAAAAGGAAAAAACCTCATAGATACAGGTAACAGATTGGTTGCCAGGGGCGAGGGGTTGAGGGGTGGGTGAAATATATGAAGAGGTCAAAAGGTACAAACTCCCAGTTATAAAATAAGTTAAGTCATGGAGATGTAGTATACAGCATGGTGACTGTAGTTAATACTGTATTGCATATTTGAAAGTTGCTGAGAGAGTAGATCTTAAAAGTGCTGAAGACAAGAAAAAAAATTTTGTAACGATGTACGGTGACAGATATTAACTAGACTTACTGTGGTGATCATTTTACAATGTATACAAATATCAAATCATTATGGTGTACACCTGAAATTAATATAGTGTTATATGTCAATTATATCTCAATGGGAAAAAAAAGTTTACGATATAATAAATGAAAAAAACTAGGCTAGAGTATGTCCAGGTACACTATGATTGTAACTATAAAAAGAAAGCTAGGATGGGGCTTCCCTGGCGGCATAGTGGTTAAGAATCCACCACCGTAACTAGAGAAAGCCTGAGCGCAGCAACGAAGACCCAATGCAGCCAAAAATAAAATAAATTAAAAAAAAATAAAGCTAGGATGGTATACACAGAAATTCTAAATTAATTGTGCATAGCAGGAAAAACATGGGTGACTTTTTTCACCTACATGTGTAACAGGGAAGAGCTAAAACGGACTCCCCATTGGATCTGTTTCTTTGACTTTAACCTTTGCTTTTCGTTGCTTTTGTTATTATAATCATACATAATGGCCTGCCTCAGGGAACCCTGCCCACCTGTGACTGGCTGCAAGAAAAAAGAAACTAACACATCCCCAGGCTGGTCATTCCAGGAGTTTTGCAAAACTGGTGGCCCTTTTACTTGACTTCCTCACCACCTCTCCCTCTCTGATTCTATAAAAGAAACCGGCATCCAGACCCCGATAAGATGGTTTTTCAGAGACACTAGTCTGCCATCTTCTCGGTCTGCTGGCTTTCCGAATGAAGTCATATTCCTTGCCTCAGCACCTCGTCTCTGATTCATTGGCCTGTCGTGTGGCGAGCAGAGTGAGCTTGGACTCAGTAACCCATCTATCAAATGTAATTAAGTGTTTAATTTTTTAAAAGTAATTGTAAAGAGAAATGTCATTAAACATTTCAGCCCCATACTGTGGTTGAAGTAAAAAATGATCCACTGTGTAGCACCGGGAACTCTGCTCAGTGCTCTGTGGTAACCAAAATGGGAAGGAAAACCAAAAAAGAGGGGATATATGTATATGTATAGCTGATTCACTTTGCTGTAGAGCAGCACAAACTAACACAACATTGTAAAGCAATTATACTACCCCCAAAAATTAAATAAATAAATAATCCAAATGAGGTGTTCATCCCTGGAGTCAGTCAATCATTTCATCACCCACGTGGGGAGTATACTGCATATGGAGCTGGTACTCCTTCGGTGCCCATTTTCTTCCAGCTAAGAAAAATTAGTTACCTGTTAGAATTTTTCCTGGCTATTCTTGAATTTTTATGCCCTTTACAATGTTTATCCTCCCAGCAATTTTTGCCTTACTTCTGTGATTAGAACATTCCAGAGGATAAGACCATTATCTTGGAATAATACCTAAATGATTTGGGTGTTGATAAGGAATACAACAAAAGCTATCACTTATGGTATTGTTTAGCAAAAGTTAAAGCCTCTATTTATGACAGAGAACTAGAAAATGTCAGAGCAAGAAAACCCTGGGTATCATCTGGTCCAACACCACACCCATTTTAAAAGAAATCGGAGGCCCTCCTGGGTATGGGATGAGGTATGCTTCCCAGAGCCTCACAGCTGCAGGATTGGAACTATAAGACCAGACCAGCTGCTTTTCCTCCTACTATGCCAGCTGCTTCCAGTAAATAGAGCTTCCAGTACACTGGAAAGGGACCTCCAGTACAACCCAAGTAATGAGTAAGAAAATCAAATTGTGACAAGATTTCAACTTGAAAACAAACAATTCTCTGTGTCTGTAAAAACACAGTAGTCATTAGAGAGCAAAAATGAGGCACGGAAAGAAACACAACCAACTAAACCAGTATACGTTTCCCTTGAGCTGCTCTAAAACTCAACTCTCTTCTTCATCTTTTTATTTTGTAACAGCCTTAAGATAAAACTCCCATAACATACAATTCACCCCTTTAAAGTATGCAATTCACTGGCTGTGAGTATATTACAGAGGTGTGAACCATCACCAGAATCAATTTTAAAATATTTTCATCACCCCAAAAACAAATGCCATAACCTTTAGCTTTCACACACCCCCAGTTCTCCACCCCTAGGCAACCACTCATCTGCTTTCTGTCTTTACAGACTGATCTATCCTCCATATTTTATGTAAATTATCTCTCTCACTCGGTTTTCTTTTGCAGCTGGCTTCTTTCAATGAGCCTAATGTCCCCAAGGCTCATCCATGTTGTATCAGGTATCTTTTCTCCATCTTGATTGCAATCGCCCAGACACCTCGGCTCAAGCTCTTTTGTCCTCATCGTGCACACAGATTAACACGGGCATATGTGCACTGGGAAAGGACGGGAGAGGGGCAATGGTAAAGATTTCCAGGCTCTTACGTTTCATACTTACTTTCACTTTGTAGATCTGCCTCAGCCTTTTCAACGGTCACCAACAGACTTTCAGAAAGATCTTTTCTTCTGCTCAATAGTGGAAAACCATTCCAAACATACATCATTTCCTAACGAGGAAAAATGAGAAACCATTCGCAATTATGTGAGGTTATTCAATGTTCTTTACAACAACAAAACTACATATGTGTGTTTTGCCTCAGTTGCTAGTGATCTCAAGACAACATTTAGAGATCATTTTCCTTAGCTTTCCTCATTTGGAATTTAGTGATTAAATTTCCACTTTTCTCACTTTATTTAATGCTTTTTGCCTTTTATACTGCGAAGTATTCTCCCTCTCTCTCTCTCTCTATATATATATATATGTATATACATATATATAGTATATTGTGTTTTTACTGAAAAATTAATTTACTCGTTCATTTAACAAGTATTTATTAAGCACCTACCGGTATCCAATCCTTTTGGAAGATAATGGATTACAGATACAGAAATACATATAATATTTTAAAATGATACTATGAACAATTCTATTTAATATAGATTTTTGCTGTTACTCTTAAGTAAAGGGAAACATTTTTCAATATCTGCCGATTGTTTATATAAAATGTCTCCAAGGACATCACTGAAAATGAACATAGGAAATATTTTACCTGGCTCAGGTTCTTTTATACCATTAAAAACATGTGACAGTCCGGTAATGCAATCCAATATGCAGAAAATGCATTCATTTAAAGGCCATACGGCAGAATGACAGCCCCTAAAAATGTAAACTAATGATTTCTCATTGCAAATTATACTTAATAGGCAAACAGATGAGAATTTTTTTTTTGGACCAAAAGCAAATGTGCTCTTGCTTGAAAATATTTTTCTAATCTTCCTGGTAGTGCAGTTCATATTTTGAAAGGTATGAAATAACCAGGGTAATTAGAATCTTCTTGGAAATAAATGAATGTTAAAATATTATAGAGATATTGTTTGAACAGCCTCTTACAGGGAAGCAGTAGAAATGAGGAAAATACATTGGAGTGGCAGCAGTCATCTTTACATTATGGTACTGAAAACTAAGATAACAACACCACCTTTTGTTTTACATCTAGCTTCTTATTGCTAATAGAGTAAGAGTTCAATTCAATAACTAACCGAACATTTATTTTAACTGATGATGATGTTTTTAAATTTTGCTTTTATCGAAGGAATATTTTGTCAGAAGAAGGAATGCTCATACCTGACCTTGCCATTTTATGACATATAGGATTTTGGTAAAATTCCTAGTCACCACAAATTCAGGGCAATTCTACACCCTTAGCCGTGGAGAAATAAGTGCTCTGAATTAACCTTCCTTAAGACCCTTAGTAATCAGAGCAAGCTATACATCATCAGCTCAGATATGATTACAGAGTGATCATATATTTTTTTATTAAATGTATCTATTTATCTATGCATTTATTTATTTATGGCTGCATTGGGTCTTCGTTGCTGCGGGCAGGCTTTCTCTAGTTGTGGCGAGCGGGGGGCTACTCTTCATTGCGGTGCGCGGGCTTCTCAGTGCGGTGGCTTCTCTTGTTGTGGAGCACAGGCTCTAGGTGCACAGGCTTCAGTAGTTCTGGCTCACGGGCTCTAGGCCTGCGGGCTTCAGTAGTTATGGTGCACGGGCTTAGTTGCTCCACAGCATATGGGATCTTCCCGGAACAGGGCTCGAACCCGTGTCCTCTGCATTGGCAGGCAGATTCTTAATGACTGCGCCACCAGGGAAGTCCCCAGAGTGGTCATATTTTTATCTCATTCCATCACAGGCACAGAGCAACCCAGTCGGAGGGTGGTGTTCTCTGAGACTAAGTTGGGAAAACCTCAGTCAAGGTACTAGGTGCAGGCTAGCTCCCAAATGATGCCTGTGAGGGGCTGCAGTTTTCTTTCTCACAGAATATTTAAAGAGCTTCTATATCAATGATAAAATTATAAAAAACCGATGAAAATAGGGAAGTATACGGACAACAATTCACAGAACAAGAAATAAAAATGAACAAGCATGTGAAAAGATGCTCAACTGCACATTTAAACAGTAAAACACTGTTGGTAGGAATTTAAATTGGTACAGCCTTTCTGGAGGGCAAACTGGCAATGTCAAAGTATTAAATGCATATGCCCTTCAACTCAGAATTCCATTTCTAGACATCTCTCCAAGACAATTTTATGCCCATGTACAAAAAGATATGAAAGAATATTAATTGTAGCTTGTTTGTAGTAGTAAAAACTGGAAACTACATAACTGTTAAAGGGGGATAACTGAATAAACTCTGGAATCAAAAAAAGAAAATCATGAACCCCCAAAGGAGGATAGCAGGTGTCAGCTCGCACTAAACAGCTCTCCTGTGTTATGTGACTACCTACGCAGAACTAAAGCCCCAAAGAGTCATCATAATTTGATGTATTCAGTACTTTAAAAAAAGTCTTCATTAAGACAATTTAAGTTGAAATTATGCTTTTCACAAAGTCTAGCCTAAATGGCATACCGATCAAGAATGTGAGCTCTAGTGCTGGGCTAGAGCACAGCAGCCACCAGCCACTTATGGCTCTGGAGCAATGCGACTGGTTCAAACTTAGTTCAAACTAAGCATAGAACACACACCAGATTTCAATGGATGAGTACAATATGAAAGAATGAGGAATCTCATTAATAAGTTTTTAGAGATTACATGCTCAAATGACAAAATGTTGCATAAACTGGGTTAAACCAATACTCTTAAAATGATTATCATGTGTCCTTTTATTTTTCAATGTTTTACCTTTTGATTTTTAATGTGGCTACTAGAAAAGGTACAGTTACATATGTGGCTTGCATTATAATTCAACTCAATTTCGATTAAGTCAACTCACCCTGTCTCTGCCTGAATTTCCTTACTTGTCAAATGAGGCTACAAAGAGAAACTCCCCTCATAGAGTTACTATAAGAATTAAATGATATATTTTATAAATAGCCTTTATCAAAATTCCTAGAACATACCAATCAGTCAAAAAACATCGGCTATACTTTTTATTATTCATTAATAATTTATTTATAAATGTTCACCTTACAAACACAATGTTTTTTAATTGAGCAAACTTCACAACAAAAGTTAGATGTTCTCCCTGCCACTGTGAATAGACAATTTATTTCTAGGATGCAACCAGTAAATAAAATAAAGGCAGATACCAGGGCAGGCAAGACGAGCTTCACGGGTGCGGGCAACGAGGGAGAGTAACGTCGAGCCTTCCTCACAGCAAACTTCTCCGTGGGGATCGATTTCCCAGCAATTCTCTGCTTCAAACCATCCACCTGTCTGTGAAAAGCCCCAGCGAAAGGTCATTAAGAACACATACATTATTTACACCTGTCCTTGTCACGCTGTGCTCCCCAGACCAGTAGCATCAGCATCACCTGGAAACCTGTTGGAAATGCAAATTTGCAGGCTCCACCCCAGACCTATTAAATCAGCAGCTCTAGAGCTGGGGCCCAGCAATCTGGATTTCAGTGAGTCCTCCAGAGGATTCTGATGCACGCACAAGTTTGAGAACAACTGATTGACGCGTATTTCTTTCTAGTTAACTTAGCAAGTGTCTTAGCCTATCAAACAGAGTCAAGGAAATCTAGATATAAAATTGGCAATTTCCATAAGTAAGCAGGAAAAAGTCCAAAGTATTTACATTGTGGATACTTCTGAGAGAGGCAATAGCGTATACTGGTACATCTCCTATTCCTTTCTGCAAGTATGACACAGATCTGTAAAGTAATGTGGCTCAAAAGATAGCCGTCAATTCACGTATAATTTGAGAAAATGTTTCCAAAGCATAGGTGATTTTGAAAATAATCAACTAAGAACATATACCACGTTTACAACCTTTCTCTCAAAATTCTAAGAAATTCCAATTATAAAATTCACAAGCACATAAAATTGAGAATAGGATGATGAGACTACATGTCCCTAGGGCACTTTCTTATACATAACTTTGCGAATGCACCAAACACGTTGCCAAGAAGAAATTTAGGGAAATATCCAGCTATACTGAAAGAAAAAGATGCAATAAGAGGAAAAAACATTCCAGGATGAAGACACGCTTGTGTTACATTCTTTCTGGGCACAATTTGGGAATATGGATTTTTTTAATTGAGGTGTAATAGACATATGACATTATGTTATTTTCAGGTGTACAAAGGGCTATGGCTTTTAAACCAGAATGCCCATCATTACTGTGAATTAACATCAGTGGGAGAGGCAGTGGAAATGTGAGGTGGGAGTTGAGGCAAGGGGTCAGAAGCATGCAGTGGACATGAAACCTTGTCATTTAAGGATCACAGAGTCTGTATGAAGAGAACATTCATTTTGGGGACTCTCCCCTCATTATCCCAACAAATTAGATGCTATCACACATGCAGCAGACCTCAAGCTTTCTCCTGAAAATAAGATTTGTTACATATTTCAAAGAAATTATTTTGATATGGAGAAAATTTACTTTGACGTACAGGAAGTGTGGACGTAAAAGATCCCAATGGACCTTAATATTCCATTCCATTTGTTGCTTGTGTGAAATGAGGCAATACATTCTACCAGTAAGAGGTGGCATTAATCTACACGGCTTCCACTAATGTTGATTCTATTAGTATACATGGTCCTATTGCTAAAAAGAGCTTCTCTAAAAGCATGAAAAAGTAGTCCTGGTCATACCTTCAAATTTGTTCTGACAAATTTGTCAGAGGGTTCAGCCAGGCCATTATTTCTCATAATGTGGTCACACACTATAGTATTCCACTCAAAAGTGTTTGTCACTGGGCTTCCCTGGTGGCGCAGTGGTTAAGCATCTGCCTGCCAATGCGGGGGACACGGGTTCGAACCCTGGTCCAGGAAGATCCCACATGCCGCGGAGCAACTAAGCCCGTGCGCCACAACTACTGAGCCTGCGCTCTAGAGCCCGTGAGCCACAACTACTGAGCCCATGTGCCACAACTACTGAAGCCCGTGCGCCTAGAACTCGTGCTCCGCAACAAGAGAAGCCACCGCAATGAGAAGCCCGCGCACCGCAACGAAGAGTAGCCCCCGCTCGCCGCAACTAGAGAAAGCCCGTGAGCAGCAACAAAGACCCAACACAGCCATAAATAAATATTTTTTAAAAAGTATTTGTCATCAATTATGTTTGAAGAACACAGTTGGGCTTCTCCGTTCCTTAACTTCCTCATCTCCAGCGGTCACCTCCTCCTTTCCACCACAGCCACCCACCCCTACAGTCACCACTTCATCACCTGTGGCTTTTCGACCTCAAAGTACAAATTCAAGCACACCACCCTTTGAACACCACTCTCCTCATTCTACCTTGGCTGTTCTACTAAGACTTTCAGTCCTCTTGCCTTTCAACTTTCTCCCAGCTCAGCAGTCTCTTTCTTTCCCCGTCCCTCCATCCTCCTGCTTAGACGGCCAGGCAGGCAATCTTTACTGCATACTCCCTTGCTAATGCCTAGTCGTTGCACTCATCCGTATGAAGCTCAGTATCCATCCTCCCTGCACCAGCACTGAGAACAAGTTGGTATCACTGTAAATTCATCAACACCAACCTCGAACGAGCCCTGTCACTGCCTGCCGTTCCCCCTCCTGTGTTTCTCTCATCACCTCACTGTCCCACCCTCTGCAGCAATGATTTCCAATATTCTTCATCCTCTTCACACCTCCATCCCACTCCTTTCTCTTTCACTCTCAACAGACAGCCCTGCCTGCTACTTCATAAAGAAAAACAGAAGCTGTGAGGGAGGAAGCCCTCCATCTCACACTACCACCCACGAGCTTGCATGCCTCCGCACCTGTTCTGGACTTCTTCCCTCCCATACAATAGAGGACCTGGTCCTCCCTCTAGATAAAGCCAGTCCTGCCATCAGTGCTTTGTATTCTATCTCCTCTTGCATTCTCAAGAGCCTTGCAAATATCAGTTATCCCATTTCTCGCTTATACCATTTCTCGCTTACATGTCTAACTTCTCTTTCTCCAAAGGAGCCTTCCCAGTGGTTTTTGAGAATGCTCAGATCTCTCGCATTAAGATATTCTTTGATAATACATCTCCCTCCAACTCTCTCTCTGTCTCTTCCACTTCATAGTCAAAGTTATCCAGGGATGTTATTTATGCTCAACTCTCTTCATTTCTTTGTATCTCATTCACTCTTTAGCCAATCTCAGTCTGGTTTCCACCTCTGTTCTATTAACTTACCAACTCCCACTCGGGATACCAATGAGCTCTGTGTCCCCAAAACACATTTTATCTTATTTTTTTTTTAAGCCTACAGCACACGGTAGTCCCAGGCGCTCTCCCATCCAGGTACAAACCAGCACCGAGCCTGCTTAGCTTCCAAAATCAGACAAGATTGGGCGCACTCAGGGTGCACTCTGTGTTCTATGAGACATATTTTGAGCAATCCTGGACGTTCATTTTCCTTAAACCTATATATAAAATGTAGCATCACGTCCTGACCAATATCAGCTTTGTCTTAGATCTTTTAATGTGCAGTGCTCCTTCCTGCAAGAGCATCCTCTCATATGCTGTTCCTGAAACAGCATCCTCTCAAATGCTGTTCCCTTGGTCTGAAACTGTTATCACTACAACTCCCCACTGCCCCAGCAGCTCCCAAGCCACCTTCAGACCTCATCTCAACTATCATTCCCTCTGTGCTCTTATCCATACCTCTCCTCCCACCGGGGAATGGAGGGACAGTGGGTAGTGTTGGCGATGCAAGTGTTATAGGTTTCTGCCTTGCTAACTGGTAGTGCCAGTCACTGAGAGAGGAAAGAACACCAGGTTTGCTAGGGAAGACTGGATGTGGTGAGTTTTAAATGCTTTGACATATCTAAGTGAAGATGGTAAACGGGAGCTAGATATATGGGTCTGGAGCTCAGTCACAAGGTGTGTACTAGGGATTTCAATTTGGCTTGAATCAGGTTTCCTAAGGTTGAGGTTCTAAGACTGACCTTTGAAATCAAAAGCATCAATTTTTAATAGATGGAAGTAGGATGAGCTTACAAAGATACCAAGAAGGAATGGTGAGACAAGCAGGAGGAGAAAAATCAGTCATGTGTTATAATTTTGCATTTACTGGGTGATTATTTCACTGATATCTAGTTCCACTACAAGATTATGAACTGCACAAGGACAGGATCCATGCCTGTTAATTCAGCACTTAACACAGTAGTCTTCATACAGTAGGTGCTCAACATAAAGGTTACAGATGAATGGATGGATGGATGGATGGATGGATGGATGGATGGACACTGGTCTAAACAAAGTTAAACAGATTACTTCACAGCAGAGCTTCTCAGAATCTTTGGCACACTAATGAAAACTAAGGGTATATTATATTGTGTTATATTCTTAAGTTTTTCTGATCACAAAATACCTTTGATTTATAACAGTAAACATCTTTAGCTAACAATACCATTTTAGGAAACTGTGTTCAAAATGCAGTAGCAAAGCCCCAATTACAAAACAAAAAAACGTGTTCTCAAGATTCCCAATTACACTGGCACATCTGCAAAGTCTTGCTAAAAGGATGACATTTTGACCCTTAGTTAAATATATATATATATATATATATATATATATATATATATATTTTTTTTTTTTTTTTTTTTTTTACGGTACGCGGGCCTCTCACTGCTGTGGCTTTTCCCGTTGCGGAGCACAGGCTCTGGACTCGCAGGCTCAGCGGCCATGGCTTACGGGCCCAGCCGCTCCGCAGCATGTGGGATCTTTCCGGACCGGGGCACGAACCCATGTCCCCTGCATCGGCAGGTGGACTCTCAACCACTGCGCCACCAGGGAAGCCCTAAATATATTTTTTAAGAGTTTCTGTATCAAATCAGATAAATTTAAGAAATATGAAGGTGAAGCATGGAAGAGCACTAAGGGAAAAAGAAAGTATTTGTGTGTTCCTCTATTCATTCAGGATCTTTGTTATAGAAATAGTGTCTTGCTTACCTAAATAAAGTTACCACATCCTCTTTAGTTGCTACTACATCTTCCTCTGGAAGCATACTCAAAATTGCAGCTTTTAAGAACACATATGTTGCCTTGAGGAAAAGAAAAACAGCTAGTCAGAAAGCATCCTAGGTACATGACATTGCTATCTTGCAAATCAGGAAAGACCTACAAATCTTCCAGATATAATATTTAAGAGGTATCAAATATATTAAAAAAAAGGAAATGAAGTCTTATATCACCTGTTCCAAATGAGATCAAAACTTTTCACCTAATTTTGGCCATTTTCCTATTATACAACTGTAACGTTCATGGATGAGAAAATGGACAAAATGAAAAAGAGATCATTATCTCATTCCTCCCAACTTTTCACAAATGGATCAGAATTTTTCTAGAACTCTTTTTAATTAATTAATTAATTTATTTGCGGTACGTGGGCCTCTCACTGTTGTGGCCTCTCCCGTTGGGGAGCACAGGCTCCGGACGCGCAGGCTCAGTGGCCATGGCTCACGGGCCCAGCCGCTTTGCGGCACGTGGGATCTTCCCGGACCGGGGCACGAACCCGTGTCCCCTGCATCGGCAGGCGGACTCTCAACCACTGCGCCACCAGGGAAGCCCTGTATTTTATTTATTTTATAGCTAGCAGTTTGTACCTCTTAATCTCCTTCCCCTAACTTGCCACACCTGTTGGAATGGCTATCATCAAAAAGACAACAAATAATAAACGTTGATGAGATTGTGGAGAAAAGGGAACCCTAGTATACTGTTGGTAGGAATGTAAATTGGTACAGCCACTATGGAAAACAGAATGAAGTTCTTCAAAAAATTAAAAGAGAACTGATATGATCCAGCATTTCCATTCCTGGGTATATATCCAAAGAAAAACGAAAACACTAATTCAAAAAGATATGTACATCATAACGTTAATAGCAGCATTATTTACAAAAGCCAAGACATGGAAGCAACCTAAGTGTGCAGCAACGGATGAATGGATAAAGAATTAATTTTGATTATTATGAAAAGCCTTGTTATCAGGGTATCAAAAAGTCTACAAACAATTATCAATACTTGATATCTAATACTTTTTATATATAAGTACAGTTCATCCTCACAGATAAAGCCTCTTTGTTGAAAAAGACTATTTGGATGGCTTTTAAAGCACGTAGTGCTGAGGACAGTGGTTACAAACAGCAGGTACTTAATGTCCACTTCGTCCTTTGACGGATCTCTAAGTTGAGAAAACAGTGTCAATGTCATACTACGGAACAAACAGTCCTAAATGAAAATCATCCTGTACACTTATGAGCGAACAGATGACATTAATGAAACTACTTTACCTTGGACCATTTACTCTCTTTGCAAAGCAGATCTGAACAGTAATACGCCTCCCTCCAGTTTTGTTGGAATACAAAAATCCACATCAGCTCCCAATAACAGAGATGGTGAAACTGTTTCCATTCTTCTTGAACTGAAATGCATTTTCGAAATATCTCTTGTGCCTATAAGTCAATTGCATAAAGCTGATCATCCAGATATTAGACAAGGAGATAATAACCTAATGGAAAAATACATAAAACACTTTGTACAAAAAGAGCAAAATCATCACTCATGAAACCACTCAATACGACAACACATTCCTTTCCTTACATGCAACAATACAGTTAAATTTTGCCTCTTTATTTAACTTTGTGAGAGGGCCATGGAACTTTATAATGTGGGAGTAGCAAAGTTCCTTTCTTAAGTAAGATGTAAAATGCAGAAGTCCTTTAAGAAAAGATTTGACAATAAATTTAGAACTTCCAGAGGGTAAAATATACCTTAAACAAAGTTAAAGGCAATGGACAGACTGGGAGAAGATATCGCTATATGCGTAACAGGCAAAGGATCAACCCTTATACAGCAATTTTATAAAATCCTTAAAAAAAGACAAACAACTCAGTGGGAAAATTGTTTAAAGATATAAACAGGACATTAGAGAAAAAGATAATGAGTGGCAAATATACGTATGAAGAAATTTTTACACTGGAAAAGATAAATTAAAAAATCAGATTATCATTTTTCAGCCATCACATTGGCAAAAATAAAACAGATAAATAATGACCAGAGTTGCCAAAGAGCACTGAAAACAAGTATTCTCATATCTTTACAGGAGTTTAAATGGACTAGCCTTGTTAGGAGGGCAAGTTGTCTGAATTTATCAAAATGCAAACATCTTTGACCTAGAAATCCTCATTATCAGAATCGATCTTATATAAATACACTTTTGCACAGAAATATACACATAATAATGTTTACAACAGCATTATGTATAGTAGCCAAATGTCTATCAATAGTGGGCTGCTTTAATAAGTACAGTATATCCATCTCATTGAATGAAACCCAGCCATCAAAAAGAATGAGGAAGATTTAGAAATACTAACCTGGAAAGAAATCCAAGGTGTATTGTAAGTAGAAAAAAATCAAATCAAGGAAAAATACATGTTTGACCCCATTTGTGTAGAAGAAAATTGTTCATGAGTATATTTATATAAAAGGCTATTCACTCTTCTTCTTCAAGGGAATTAGTGAATAATTTCCTTTGATGGGGAGCACACATGTAGTACAGTGGAGTGACCTTTATGCAGGGGCAAGATTCCAAAGCCAACATGTAATACCGAGATGGATAGTAGTCAAAGATTTTTGAAAGCCCCTTAAACTGCCCAACTGTATTTCTATATCCTACCCTGAATTGCCTCAGGTACTTTATGTGCAAATGTAGAGTATATTCAGTAGTTTACTATATATCATAGAGTGCATCCACACAATTAACTTTTGGCTTTTTAATTACATATTTTCCCTTTATTTCTGTCTAGTGCATATAGCTGGACTTGCTCATATGGAATGGGTGCACTACGCAACTCCACCATATAGACAGCCCCCCAAATGACCCCTTCAAATAAATTACCTCTTCCACATTTCCTTTCAGCAGCTCTATCCGGCCATGATAAAACAACATGAGGGAGCCCTGCGGAGGGAGAAACAGACTGTTCAATGGTCAACCCTGGTTGATTGATTATGGTTGAAAAAGACACTTGAAATTCTAAGCGTACATTTGGAAACTGCTGGAGGTAGGGTTCAAGGAGACGCTCTGCTTCCACAACATTCACTTCTCCTGTACCTAGAAATTTAACAGGAAAAGCCTCAGTCTTCAAGAAATGTGGTTGACATTTATAACTATTTCTCCAAATTTTCATTAAAATATAGCAAAGACCTATTCATGGAAAACATGAAAACTGTTAATTTGTCATTTTAATATTTGGGAAATAAAAGAAGACAAGTCTCATCTATGACTTTAGTTTAAGAAAGCTCTAGGGCAAATTCTTAGGAGCAGAGGTGGTTGCCTTCAGTTCCTAATTGAAATTTCTGGTTTTAATAGCAATACTGAACTTATTTTAACCAAAAATTTAATTTTCTGCTAAAAAAAGAAATGTAATATGCTAAAAATAGATCACCTTAAACAAGCTTTATAGAATTTTTTAGCTGAGAACAGATTACAACGAATTTGACGAAAGAAACCCTCCACCCGCTCTGCCCAATGTTACTATGAGAAATGTCACAATTTTTCACTTTTGCTCAAAAAAAAGGTAAATACAGACTACGGCCTCTTACTGATTTTTCTAAATTCTTACTTACTCAGATGAAAGATAATCAACTTTCAATGATGTGAAATATAATCCAGTCCTTACCAAGTATCAGGGAGATATAAGTATGAAAAGCTAGCATAGTTAAGCAGCACAGTGGAGACCTCATGCTTCTTCCTAAGGCACCTTCCCGTAACTGCAGGATGCCCAACTCCTATGGGAATTAGAGGCATTTTAGAATGAGAAGAGCATGATTGAAACATCATATTCAGAGACTTTAAAATGCTAGCTCATGGATCCCCACTCTCCAGGAAGGTGGGGTTTATTTTTCAAGAGCTTAGAATAGCAGTAGTATCTAACTAGAAGCAAATTTTACATTTTAAACTGGCATAAGACAATCTCCCAAATTCTTATATCATGTGATCTTAGGGAGAGAAAAAGGTAGAGCTCATTTCATAGAAAATGCTGTATTTCTCTTATATAAATATTAATTTATTAAAACATATTGAGGATCTAAGTACAAAATGCTACGGTGGGTATGAATATATACAGTTCTATGTCTTCAAAGACCTTTCCATCAAATAGCGAAGGTAGTACATGAACACATCATTTTATTGGAATATGGCAAGGGCCATGAGAAAGATAAGTAAATGATTCTGAAAGTTAGGAATACTTGAGCTTTGTTGGGAGAAGATAAGAGAAAGCTTTGTGGAATAGGTGACATTTGTCTCAATCCTAATGGATGGAGAGGCTCTCAAGAGACACTATTTGGGAGGATGCCAGTTGGGGAAGACATCCAAAACAGACACCAGCAGAAGCATGGAAACAGAAAAGCACAGGGTCTATCTGGTGAACAACCATTTGCCCAGTTTAGCAGGAACACTGGGGAAGCAAAAAGGATGGGTAGTAGGCTAGAAGCACTGGCTAGAATCAGATCCTAGGGCCCTTGAATCCATGCTGTAGTTTGGACTTCATTCAAGGGGCAAGTTGGAGCTACTAAAGAAATAAGGTGGAAGATGAATAGTAGAGGGGAAGGGTAACAATGAAACACAGAGTCTGAATAGATAGATCATATCAGGAAGGGATCACCATAAATACATAATACTTATGGAGAACCTGGACAGTGGAATAAATAGGGAAAAAAATTACAGCTTCTTGTACCTGTTCTCATCTATTTCTCAAAACCTGCTCTCTGGACTAACAGGGACAACTTTTGCAATAAGGCAACTCTGGTAATAGCATATTGAGTGTTATGATTAATACATGTTATACACTACAAAAACAACCACACAGAACTATAACAAACAAAACTCGTGGAAAACAAATTTCCTTGCTTAGTTTTATAGTGAAACGTGTAAAAACAAGGAAAACCAAAACAACTGCAACTATGCTTGATCCATACGAATCACAAAACGTTAGACAGGGAAATCTAGCCTAATTTCTTGGTTTTGCAGGAAACTCTGGGGTTGCAGAAATGTTAGGGAAGCATATTTTAACCTCACGTGAGTACTAAAGATCCAGCAAGCAGCAATATTAGTAAAACATAAATTTTAATCCCAGAATTTAAATAACAAAGATGAAAAATTTTAACTTTCAATAGAAAAACCATCTCTTAACTCCTGAAAAATATAATCAAAACCCAATGCCTCTTTGTTGTTCTGAAAACAAATTGCTAGTTATGAGGACATGTTGTATTTCCCTCATATTCAATAAATAACTTTTATTTTCCTTGTCAAAATTAAGAAAAAATTAATTTTGTACCCTATTTCCAGAAAATCCTATAAATTCTAGTAGTCTGATAATCCGTGCTGGTAAAAGGGACAGCATCTGTAAGAAAAAAAATACAAGTGTACTTAGTGTTAGTACATCTAACTGTAGATAAATGTTAAACTCTAACCAACTTAAAGTTTTAATGATTCAGTAATATGAAAAATTAGAACCAAGTTTAAACCACTGGACACATCTCAGTCACCACATACTGCACCTAGTATAATCATTACTTGTGACTTAATTTCATTTAGTTAAGACAATACACCTAAAAAATTAAAAACAAAACAAAACAAAACACCTGGCTTTTTCAGAATGCTCTAAAGAACACTTGCTCCTTTCATGTGGGTTGATAAAGTGATGAGAAGATAACCCCCAGTGTCCACCTCCAAACAGTGTTTCTTTTAGCATCCTTTTCCAAAAGCAAAAGTCTGTTGTATCCTTCATATATGCAGGCGTGACCCAGAAGTAGACACCTACAGCACTACAGCCCCTCTCTGGGACATCCCTAAAGAGTAGGATAAAGGGAAGTTCTCCCAGGGCTTAACTTTGAGCAGTGCCCTGTTTGTTCACTTTGCTTGGAAGGAGAAATGGCCATATATGCAATTATTTACTGATTCATGGGTGTTTGCCAGTGGTTTGGTTGGATGGTCAGGGCTTTAGAAAGAACATGATGGGAAAATTGATGACAAGGAGCTCTGGGAAAGAGGTATACGGACAGACATCTCAGAATGGGCAAAAAATGTGAAGATGTTTGTGTCCCATGCGAATGTTCACCAAAGGCTGACCTCAGCAGAGGAAGATTTTAATAATCAAGTGGATAGGGTGATTCATTTTGTGGACACTAGCCAGCCTCTCTCCTCAGCCACCTCTGTCATCAACCAATGGGCTCATGAACAAAGCGGCCACGGTAGTGTATACACTTGTGTGGGATTCCCTTTACTACTTAATTTTCTCACCAATTCCAGTCAAACCTTAATATCAAAATATCTAAATAATATAGCAATTGGACAGATATCTACTCAAACCCTTCATCTACCCCAGAGCTTCATCATCCCTCAAACTATATTGTTCCCTCACCTATTTTCAATTTCAGAGCCACCATTGCTATAGCAATAATATTTCTGATGTGGACATAGAACTGAATTTCAAGCTCCTTATTACCAAAAAGTGTTACTAGTCCATTCAGAGAGCTGCATGCTTCCCTTATTATACAATCGAAAACTATTCTGAGCATGTGCAGAACTTTACAGCACATTCTGGCCAAAGCCCCCACTGGTTCACAGCACAAGAAAACTGATCCCACTGTAGCCACTTGCCAACCAAACCCAGGTAGTGGTTCAGGGTGAGGTTCAAATGCAGTAGCAGAGGCACTGAAAACCTAAGGTTCTTGTACAAAAGATTCTAGTTGCTTTCTGATCACTTACCAAATTAAAGGCCCCTATTCCAAGCTTGACGCCACCTTCAAACTCATAGAAGAACTGCTGCTCAACTTTGTTCTTCTGAATTACGTGCAGGATAGAAAGACATTCTCTGGATTGAAGAAAACAGTTATACTGTAAGTTTACTATGACACTGAAAACTAATTTTAAGTCAAATTTTGCATTTACATACCATAAGATAAATGTCATTAGCCAAAATACCAGAGAATTTTTAAGTGGATGAAGCTGTGCTGCGTTTACTTTTTTTCTTTTTTTAGTTTGCCGATATTTTATTTTATTTTTTAATACATCTTTATTGGAGTATAATTGCTTCACAATGCTGTGCTAGTTTCTGTTGTACAACAAAGTGAGTCAGCCATATGCATACATATATCCCCATATCCCCTTCCTCTTGAGCCTCCCTCCCATCCTCCCTATCCCACCCCTCTACTGGGTAATCATCATTAAGGAAAAACGACACACTCATTTCTACACTGTTTATCAGCACAATCTTTCTGGGCTTAAAGCAAAAGAGGGTTCAAATATCAGCAAGCATGACTCAGGAGCCAAAGGACCGCAGGACTGTGATCTCACAGTTTCCCAGCATGTGTTAGAGGAGACTTCCTAGGAATGCTCAGTCTCTCAGCCGTTGTGCACACTTCAGCAACCTACCCTCCACTGAGTAACTGAGGTGCTACTGACAAAAAGACTTGAATTTCAGCATGATCACCATGGTCTCAAATAGACCGAAATAAAACTCACAACTAGGAAAGATTGAAAGAGGAAAGCAAGCTTGATCACAATTGCCTGCAACTGTCCTCTTATTTTTCCCTCTTCCATCCAAGCCAATCTTCCTGATTTCTCATTTTAATTAATTTTCCATGCATTTTTCCCTTTCCCTTCACATCTTCAAAAGGCAAATACTTAATCAGAGAAATGCAGATGAAAACAATGACAAAGATGTAAAACTTGGCAATAACCAGAAATTGCTTATCAAACTGACAGATATATTTTTTAAAGGTAGTAAGAAATAGCCAGATATTATGTATCACCTGGTGTGATGCACTTACAAATCATGCAACTTCACTTATGATGTATTCTAGCCAAATGCAACTAACCTGAATCTAATTTCCACTTTACAGGAAATATAAAGGCCTACAGGAATGCTATGGACTGAACTATATTTCCCCCAAATTCATATGTTGAAGCTCTAATCCCCCCACCCAGTGTGACTGTATTTGAAGACAGAGATTTTAGGAAGCAATTAAGGATACATGAGGTCATAAGGGTGGGGTCCTCCTCTGATAAGATTGGTGGCCTTATAAGAGGAAGGTCTCTCATTGCCATGTGAGGACACAGTGAGAAGGTGGCTGTCTGCAAGCCAAGAAGAGAGTCCTCACCAGAACCTGATCATGCTGGTACCCAGATCTTGGACTTTCATCCTCCAGAACTGTGAAGAAATAAATTTCTGTTGCTTATGCCATCCAGTGTATGATATTTTGTTATGGCAGCCTGAGCTGACTATGACAAGGAACAAGCTAAATGAAAACTCAAGGAAGCCACCAAACAAATCTGTGCATATCCTGCAGGACAAATGGGTTGTGCTTTTCAACAACTCTCATGAATATAGAGACTCTTCTAGAATAAGATGTATTTAATGAACATAAACACTGGATGTTCAAGGCAGTCTTGGGTTGGATCCTGGTACTGACATTCCAGCAGTAAAAGAGATTTGGGGCCAACAGGCAAAATTTGAAGATGGATTGAGTATTATATGAAATGAAGACTTGTTGACACGAAAAAGTAAAGATCATTAACTGAAAAAAGCAGGTTAAAAAATAGTACATACAATGTGATCTCATTTTCGTTTAAAAAAATATATATCTTTAGATACATGTAGAAAATATTCTGAAAGAATATATACTAAGATGTTAACAGCCATAATTACTGGGTGATAAGTATATAGTGTGTGTGTGTATTTTAATATTTGCTCATCCACGTTTTCCTATTTTCCAAAATATATACGCCATTTTTGTGATAAAAACCATTATTTTAATTTTTTAAATAGAAAACCAGTGCTGGCAAAGGTAAGAACAAATAGACACATTCATTTATTTATGGTAAAATGGTAGTTATAGTAAAGAGGTTGGCAACCTATTGGAACATAGTCACACCCATTTACTTATAGTCTATGGCTGCTTACACCTTGCGGTCATAGAGTTGAGTAGTTGGGACAGAGATCTTACAACCCACAAGCCTAAACACTTACTGTCTGGTATTTTAAGAAAAAGTTTGCCAATCCAATTATTCTTCAGAATAATTTTGCAATATATATCAGAAATCTTACACACATGCATACCTTTGAACCAACAAATCTAATTTTATTCTAAGGAAATAGCATGGATACACACAAAACTTGACCTATAAGGAAAGATACTGTATTACTACCTACAATAAAAATTTATAAACAAACTAAATAGGCAACAACCGGAAATTGGTTACGAAGATAGTTGCATGCATGCATACATTTATACATACACGTGTAGTATATCCAAATAGTGGAATACTGTGGAGCCATTAAAAGCCATGATGAATTAAAAATACTTAATGATCTAAAATTTTCTGACATGAAGTGAAAAAAGAAATTTCAAAATGACACAAAGCATATAATCTCACTGTATAAAAAGATAATTATATATGCTTATATACATGCACAAAACTTCAAATGTCAAAATATCAACAGGATGGCAGGATATGCATATTATGTTCAGAGTTATTTTCTGTGTAAATGTTCTATTTGCTGATAATAGATGATTATTACAAAATGCTCAAATAATATGGAGAAACCCTAAGTGTCCCTACACAATCATCCCACAGAGAGACGGTCACTGTTAACAGCCTGGTACATAATTTTCTAGTTGTTTTTATGCTTTACAAAGAATGCAATCTTTAGAAAACACAAATGGGATCACATAGTATATACTCTTCAATAGATTATATTGACAATTTTCCATGAAAATGCATGAAAGCTACCTTATTCTTTAACAAGTGCATATTATTCCATTCTATGGAATAATTTATTTAACCAAATTCCTATTCTTAAATTTTCAAGTTGTTTCAAAATATTCCATATTACAAACAATGCTGCTAAAGTGTTCTTATACCTTCATCAAGTACTTTCCTATATCAAGTACTATAACTATATTTATACCATCCTAACTGTTCATAGGATAAATTCTTAGAAAAAGAACTTCTGAGATTGAAGGTAATGCATATTCTTAATTTTGGTATATACTGCCAGAACATCCTTCATAAAAACTCTATCAGTTTAGACCCCCCAACCTATGAGTTTCTCACACTGTCATTTGCCCTGAACCATTTATATCACATTTCTATTTGTATTTTTTATTACGGGATATTTTTGCCATGATGAAAATTTATATGTTTATTTGGTCAAGTTAGTCTTCTATGCTTTCTGATTTTATGTCACACTTTAAAAGGCTTCTGAAATTGACATCATATATCTACATATATGACACACTGAGAAGGACACCACATCACTTCTATAGTATTCTTGCCATAGAAAAATCTGAATTTAATCATTAAGCAACATTAGATAAGTCCACCTTGAGCAATGGTCTAAAAAATAGCTGCCCAGTATTCTTCAAAAATGTCAAGGTCCTGAAAGACAAAGAAAGACTGAGGGACTCTTCCAGATTAAAACTGACTAAGGAGACGTAACAACTAAATGTGACATCCAGAATCCTGGAGTGAATCCTGGACCAGAATAAGGACACTGGTGGGACAATCAGAAAAATTTGAGTAAAGTCAATGAAGTAGTTAATAATAGTATATCAATGTTCATTTCCTGGTTTTAATAATTATACTGTGGTTCCATAAGATGTTAACATTTGTATATTGGAAGAATATATGATAATTCTTTGTAAAAATTCTGGAATCATTTCAAAGTGAAAAATTTTTAAATAAATCAAAAGTTTAAAGGCCTTTGTGCTTTAGGACTATAAAAAGACTTTCCTATGTTTTGGTTGTACTCTTCTAAAAATATTTTCATATCAAATCTATATGGAATGTATCATTTTTTTATTTTTTGAATTTTATTTATACAGCAGGTTCTTATTAGTCATTAATTTTATACACATCAGTGTATATATGTCAATCCCAATCGCCCAATTCATCAAACCACCTCCCCCAAGCCCCCGCCGCTTTACTCCCTTGGTGTCCATAAGTGTGTTCTCTACATCTGTGTCTCAATTTCTGCCCTGCAAACTGGTTCAACTGTACCATTTTTCTAGGTTCCACATGTATGCGTTAATATATGATATTTGTTTTTCTCTTTCGGACTTACTGAAGGAACAGTTTGCTAGTATTCTGTTGAGGATTTTTACATTTATATTCATCAGTGATATTGGTCTGTAATTTTCTTTTTTTGTAGTATCTTTGGTTGGTTTTGGTATCAGGGTGATGGTGGACTCATAGAATGAGTTTGGGAGTGTTCCTTCCTCTGTAATTTTTTGGAAGAGTTTGAGAAGGATGGGTATTAGCTCTTCTCTAAATGTTTGATAGAATTCACCTGTGAAGCCATCTGGTCCTGGACTTTTGTTTGTTGGAAGATTTTTAATCACAGTTTCAATTTCATTATTTGTGATTGGTCTGTTCATATTTTCTATTTCTTCCTGGTTCAGTCTTGGAAGGTTATACCTTTCTAAGAATTTGTCCATTTCTTCCAGGTTGTCCATTTTATTGGCATAGAGTTGCTTGTAGCAGTCTCTTAGGATGCTTTGTATTACTGTGGTGTCTGTTGTAACTTCTCCTTTTTCATTGCTAATTTTATTGATTTGAGTCCTCTCCCTCTTTTCTTGATGAGTCTGGCTAACGGGTTTATCAATTTTGTTTATCTTCTTGAAGAGCCAGCTTTCACTTTTATTGATCTTTGCTATTGTTTTCTTTGTTTCTATTTCATTTATTTCTGCTCTGATCTTTATGATTTCTTTCCTTCTGCTAACTTTGGGGTTTTTTGTTCTTCTTTCTCTACTTCCTTTAGGTGTAAGGTTAGATTGTTTGAGATTTTTCTTGTTTCTTGAGGTAGGCCTG